AAAACTCGTATAATAATAGCAAAAGGTGGAAAAGCATAAAATTTTAATCCCTGCCAATTTAGAGTGAATGCATCAACCTTTTCCGATCCGGGGTCAGGTTTCCAAGACACATACCTTGCACATTTTTTGTTAAGATGTGTGGCAAACAAATCTATATCTGGAATATGAAGCTGCTCAAAAATTATATTAACACAATTATCACTTAAAGAATACTCTGTTTCTATTTTTAAAGATCTTGACTCTGAATCAGCAATAATATTTTCTTTTGTACTGATATAAGATGCAAATATTCTTAAATTTCTGTTTTCACAATATTGCCAAATTCTCTAGAATGCTATTTAGATTAGAGTACTGCACACTCCCCATCTTGTTAATACAAGACACCGCTGTTGTATTATCTATTCTTAGCAAAATGTTACAATTCCTATATCCCTTGGAAAAGGATTTCACGCTATTATATGCTGCCAGTAACTCAAGTGCATTTATATGTAGTTTCTGCTGTTCATAACTCCAAAAACCATGAGTTTTGTTATCATTACAGCATGCCCCCCAGGCTAAAAGAGATGCCTCACAAAATATTTCAAGTACATAATTTGATTGTTTTATATTTTGCTTACTAATTGGAATGTTATTTAACCACCAATTGCAATCGTTTTCCAAGTATTTAGGTATGGTCATTTTAGTGTTATAACTATTAGTTTTAGAAAGAGCAAGCCACTTTTCTCTTTCTAAATTTTTTAAGTATAATTTACCATATTTAACTGAAGGACAAATCGCTAATAACTGACCGATTAAAGCTGCAAATGATCTTATCCTACATTGTATTAACAATTTTTTTTTTGTCAGCAGGAGCAAAATATATCATTTCTCTGGAATCAAATGTAAAACCAAGAAAAGTTATACTCTGCATGGGTGAAAGTATGCTTTTTTTCTTTATGTATAGTAAAGCCTAAGCGGGAAAACATAGAACATGTTTCAGCAATATTTTCTTTACATTCTAAATATGATTTTGAAATTAGCAAAGTATCATCAAAAAAATGACAGAAGTAAAACCTCTTGTTCTTAAATTATTTAGAGCTGGTTTCAAAGTCTTTGTAAATATAAAAGGTATTCAAACCAAATAGTAAGCATTTAAAATGATACAGAATATTTTTGTACTCAAAATTTAAATATCTTTTTTGAATTTTCATGAACAGGTATAGCAAAATAGGCATCTTTTAAATCTACCTTTGTCATAAAACAACCCTTGAAAATGTGGGACCTGACCTATAGTCTGCCAGCTTAAAATGTGGGGCTTCTATAAAGCAGTTAATTGTTTTAAATTCAAAACAAATCTGTGACTCCCATCCTTTTTGGGCACTAGAAAATATGAAGAAAGAAATTGCCCTTGTGTATATAAAGAGAGAGAAATAGCTCCTTTCCCAAGTAATTGTTTTATAGCTAAGTCATATGACTCATTTGGGTCTATCAAAACTTTTGGTGCTCTCTCTTGAGAGGGCGTTGTTTTAAATAAAATATTAAAACCTTGGACCAAACTTAAAACTTTGTTGTCGCAGTAATCTTTTTCCAGTTTTCAATATAGTTAGCCACATTACCTGCTAATTTCTTATTTACCTTTAATATGACCTCTTGGTATTTCTGCTCTGGTCCTGGTACTGCTGCCTGTTCAACTGCTTGTATCTTGATGTTGGTTGCAGGCGATTTGGGTACTGGCTTTGTCGAAATCTCAGTCTGTTCGAGGCTGGATTGTAGTTTAAACGCTGCTGATTGAAGTTGCTAGATTCTGCAAGAACTCTTGTTGGCTGTTGAGCTAAAATAGGAGCTTAGCGTTGAGGAGCAGTCCTAGGGTAAAAATTTGATGTTTGTGGCTTCATAATAGAGCTGACCTGAAAGGCTGCTGATTTTGTGTCCTTGCTCTCTTTCAACCTTTCAACCAAATTCTCTCCATATAAATATTTATCTATAGGTTGCTCATCTAATAATTTCTTAAATTTTGAATTTAATGAAGAACTAAGCAAAAACCTCTGTGCAAGGACATCTTATAAAACACCTCTATATTGAGGTTTATGGAGTTGGCACTTGTTTCGATACTCCTATTTTCATTTAATCCCAATTCAACCTCTTTATAAAGAGCCATAATACTTGCCGCTAAAATTGTTTGCATGGATTGCAAGTACTTATCTTCCCTAATTTTACTTTTATCTTTTATTGCAGATAAGATCTCAGGATTTAACTGAGGTGGGCAAGTCTCTCGCAGTTTGTAGCAGGTGGGAATTTTTCTGTAAGCTTACCCACAATGGTTTTGTATAATATTATTTTGACCTTCAGTTTGCCTCTCCTCATCTAAAATTCAATGAATAAAAAGGACTTTAATATTTTTGACAATACCAAACAAAAAATTCAGTATTGAAGGTAAAAAAGTTGTTATGGTTGTAAAGTAAAAACCAGATAAAATGTACAAAAGTAATTAAATAAAATCTATTGCTTTTCTAAACTTTTGGGCTACTGTAAAGTACCTATGAGAAATGGGAGCAGGTCAAATAATCACAAAGATTTACTGGGCTAATAAAAAGTACCGGCTGCTCTAGTTTTTGTTAAGGCGTTAATTATTTATTCTGCCTTACTTTGGGCTGCCCAAAGGCACCCTAATTGAGACAACCAATATATCTTTTTTCCAAAAAGCGTGTAGAATGTATAACATAACAGACCAATAGGTCAAATAATCAAAGATTTACTGGACTACTAAAAAGTACCCGCTGCTCTAGTTTTTGTTAAGGCGTTAATTATTTATTCTGCCTTACTTTGGGCTACCTAAAGGCACCCTAATTGAGACAACCAATATAATATCTTTTTTTCCAAAAAGCGTGTAGAATGTATAACATAACCTATAAATACCTTGGTCACTTTCTTCCAAATCCTCCCTTAACTTTGCCAATTTCTGTCGTAACTTTTCATATTTACGCCTCTTCCGGGATACACTATCCTTCTCTGATAACCTTTTTGGCATTTTTAACACTTTTTATAACAATATTCGGAAAACACTTGTGATCAACACCGCACAGAAAAAAATCAGTGATTCGCGCCTAGTCACCTGTCAAAAAGCTGGACTTCTTTTTTCTTCTTCTTCTTCTTTAAACTGTGGTTAACCTCCAGAAAATACCACTACCATTAGTACAAATGTTCGAAATGTAATATGTAATGTGATCATCGAGCAAAAAGATAAAAGAGGGAATCTAATCGTTATGAAAAGGAGACCAAAAAAGTGGCCTCTGATGGCGGACATATCCGGAAATGCAAAGGCGCTAAATTTAAATTTTCCAACACTTATTAACAATAGCTATAAAATATTTTTCAGACGAGAAAGTTTTAATTAAATATTAACTATAATAGTCTAAAAAGTGACACAATAGGTAAAAGATTTCAATATAAATAAAATTTCATGTGACAGTTGGGACAAACAATAACATAACCTAACTAAATTTGACTTCTTAAACAAGGAAAGAGACTGTCTATCCTTGTCTAAAGTGGCCTCTCAAGATGGCACTTCCTGTCTATCAATATGTTTACCCCCACTACCTTTACATTCCCTCTTTTGTCTTATTGCTCGATGAATGTGATGGACAATTAATTAGAAGTAATGCTCTACTACATTTTTATGGAATATGATAAGATATTTTAGTTACATCTCTCTAAAAACATAAGAGAATCTGAAGAAAACCCCAAAATAGGAATATTAATTATCAATCGATATTATCTGATCACTGTAATAAAAAAAGAGTATTTTGTTCACAAGGGTGGCTAAAATTTATGGTACTAAATAAAGAAACATGTTTTGTGAAATTATTCACAAGGGTGGCTAAAATTTATGGTACTAAATAGAGGAACACATGTTTTTATAATATTCGGCTTTGCAACAATATGCCAAAATTATTGTGAAAGAGACAGTCAAGTATACTAATATAGTTAATAAAATTACCAGTAGCCATTTTTAGATTAACACATGTGTCACCAGTTCTATTTTCATATTCCTTAAACATGAATGTTTTACCGTTAAGACACTTTTACACATGTCACACACAGGTTTATCAGTACGTTTTAGTAGGTAGTCGTGTGTTAACCGAGTATGGCCAATCCGGAGGCGAGTGAAAGTTACTTGTTGTCTTCTATTGTTGAATTTTGGGAATTTTTTATGACTCTTATCAACTTCATACAGCTTGGTTGAAGAGTTCTTCCATGTAGCTTGCCATATTGAATTAATCTTTTCTTTAAAGAATACTTTCAGGTCGGTGTAAAAACATTTCGCATTTTCTTCTGCATTTGGGTTAGTAGGTGCATTTTTTGCTATTTTATCTACAACCTCGTTTCCTTCGATTCCAGTATGTGACGGTACCCATATGAAATTAACTTTAATGTTCACATTTTCCGCATGTTTTGTTCATTTTTAATGAGAAGGAGTAGTGGATGGTTACAGTAAAGTTGGTTTAATGCCATTATTGAGCTAAGAGAATCTGTAATAATGATATTTCTCTTTTTATTTTCGTTATCTATCAGAACTAGTGCTTTTAGTATCGCATACAGTTCAGCTGAGAACGTTGTTGTATATGAAGGTAATTTGTAAGCTTCTGTATACTCTGAAGAGTAGATTGATATATTTTCACCTTTGAACTTACCATTTAAAATTCTGGCTTCGATACCGTTTTTCATCAATTTTCGAATGACTAATCGCGTACCGTTGCACAGCCGTGGCGGGTTTAAATTACGAAGCAAGATAATTGGAGATCCAACTTTCAATTGTAAATTATGCGGTGGCATGCTTGGCAAATCCAGTGAGTTCACAAATTCTGTTTGAAAATTGACAGCTTCGCTGGCATCGCAAACTGTATCAATAGATTTTTATGATACCAAGTTCCCTGACAACAACTGTTGTATCTTCAAATTTAAATTGTTGACGTCTGCATTTTTTGCTGCTAAACTAGCTCTTTCTGCAAGCCACTCATGATTTATATACTGTGTGGATACATCAGGAAATATTTGTTCAGAGTATCTTGCGAATCAGCGATTGTGCAGAAATCGGTCGGTAATTTTATGTATCCAGTTTCATCTGTAGCAACTTTTCCATCACCGATATCTAAGAGTTGTTTTGAGAATGTTTCAGCGGATGGATCTTGAAGCATTTGAACGCGCATATTTACTTTCAGCTGTACTTTTTCAACATTACGCCAAAATGGAGATGATTTTAAGGAAGCGTTGATCTCATCAGCGTATGTTGAACGTGGAATGACGGGAAGCGTTTGTCTGAAATCACGTGAAAGCACCCACAAGGTGCCGCCAAATAGTTTGTCATTGTTTTTAATATATTTCAATGTCCTGGGTAACGCCTCAATGGAATGTTTGTGTGCCATAGTATATTCATCCCAGATAATAATTTTACACTGTTTTAGCACGGTAGCCATGGACGATTGTTTTTTAATGTTACACTGCGTCAGGGTTATTTTGAATATTTAGTGGCAGCTTAAATACTGAATGAGCTGTTCTGCCTCCATCCAATAAAGTTGCCGCAATGCCCGATGATGCAACGGCCAATGCGATGCCATTATTTAATCGAATTTCAGCAAGAATTAGTGAAATAAGGAATGTTTTGCCAGTTCCACCCGATGCATCCAAAAAAAAGAACCCACCTTGTCCTGCTGAAACTGCAAGCAAAATGCGGTCTAAATGATTCTTTGTTCGTCATTCATTAGTGGGATATTGCGAGTAACAATCGCTGCCATGTCTACAGTGTTGTACTGCAGTTCATGATTCATTTCAGTGTTAATTAAATCAGGTGCAGTTCGATTTGGCGAATTCATACCGAAATGAGTGAGTGATAAGTTGGTAATGACAATGCAAAGATCCTCAATAGCAATCAATGCTTCATTGTACATAGCGTCGCTGAATGTTATCGTTAGATCGTTGCACCGTGTACGATGTTGATGTAATATATCATCAGTAATTGAATCTTTGTGATTATCCCACAATATCTGTGCTCGAGCTGAGAAACATGTAGTCAACACTCTAGCGAATAGTAGACGAATTTGTATTGCTGTACAGTTCAATGCAGCTTCAGCAAGCGTACACTCCCACTGGTTGTCGTCCTCTAGCAAGCCGAGTGCAAGTCTTTATATGTTGGATACTGTTGCCCATTCACTTTACGTATATCTTGAAATGATAATGGTCAAGTAACATTAACCAACAACAGTTATTAAATAAATTGAGACATGCATCAACTGGTGAGCCTTGCTTGCGGGGAATCCAGTTTTTTGTTTGAGCCCATGTGAAATATTGTGGTACTTGTGAATAGAGTAATGTTCTTGCAAAGGCACCAAAATCATCCATACTATTACACAATTCAAAAAATGCTGTGAGTGTAGTTTTAGGTGGATTTGTAGCACGATCAATCACTGTCTCGTTTGTGAAAAATACACGCTGACCGTTTTCAAGATGGACGGCTAAATGAACAACTACTGTAACCTGTTCACGAATTGGAAAACCGAAGATACGCCAAGCAGCTTCATTGGAGCTGACGTACCGTCCAATTTGGTAGAGCGTAATTTCATCTTTTTATTAATTGGAGGAGCATTTACATTAGTATTTTCTACACTAACACAGCCATATCACTGCCTTTATGGACATACTTGCAAATATATTTTATGCTCTTCACAAAACAGCAAAACTCAACATAAATATGAGCATTGTATGTCTTGCTTAGAAGAGGTGAATACGGCACGACCCAACGATTGTCAATTTCAATGTCTGTGTTGCTGATATTTTTAATAAATGAGTATCCGCCCTTATCGGGACTTCTTTTACGATATATTGATATCCGTCGGTATTTGTTATCGTATCATTAGTGAAATCTTTAGGGAAATTTTTAGTACATTTTCCATCTGCCATGCAAGGCGATGAACGATGAAGAGTACCACATGGACCATGGATCATGTTCGCTGTAACAATATCAAACAGCACTTGGTCAGTAGACGGATCTGGAATTTCCGCAGAAATGATACTATCGATTTGTTCAGAACGGATTTTTTCGATTAACCAAACCAAAATGTGCGCATGAGGTAATCCCCTCTTTTGCCATTCAACTGAATACAGCCAGCAATGTGTGGGACCGAATACATGTAATTTAGTAATGTAACTTATTAGAGACTTCAACTTTTGTCTGAATACATGTGCTGTAATGTCATGACAATGTATTGCATTTTGGCCAGGCAATAGCAAAGATGTAATCTCTGGCCATTTTGGATTACATGTGAACGTGATAAATAAACACGGTCGTCCATATTCGCGCACGTAAGCCATAGCATCCTGTATATATTCTTCCATATGACGTGGACTGCCTATATACGATGATGGTATTATTATGAATAAAATAGTAATAATTAATAGTTATTATGAGAGTTACACAGAAATAGAAAATTGATAATTGTGAACGTTACTACTACACTTAATGCATAAACAATAATCATGTATGGCCGAAAACTGTGTAGGGAGTGAGAGAAGTCTTATGTGAGTAAAACAGGACACCGGCTTCAGTTTATGGTATAGTGTGGCATTTCACTCACCAGTAAAGGTGCGTCAAATTTGAAGAATCTAAGATTGGTAACACTAAGCATTTATATCAGAATTAAACTTTAATAATAAAAATAAATGTTTATTTTCTTAAAAAACATTTTAGGATTTTAATCGAAGTACAGTTAAAAACACTATAATTGATCAGTTATCGAGCGAGATGAAAAATGATTAAATTACTAAAATAGCCATAAAAAATAGGGGTTGATGATAAAAAAGTAAAAGTTTAGGGTTGTATGTATTTTTTAATGCAACATTATAAAAAAACAAAAATAAAAAATTTCGCCGAAAAAATAAAAAAAAATTAATAGTGAACAACCCTTATCACTTAGGGGTATGAAAAATAGATAGTAGCCGATTCTCAGACCTATTGAATGCGCATATAAAATTTGGTAAAGATCGGTAAAGCTGTTTCGGAGGAGTACGGTAACTAACATTGTGACATGGAAATTTTATATATTAGATAAGGATATATTAAAAATGCTTTTAATGTTTTTTATAGTCAAATATACACCTTTTTAAATTGATCTATTCATAAAGCCAAAAAAGGGCCAACAACTCTACTTACAGGTTTCCAAACTGGTTCTCTCAAGATTTGATCATTAAAATTAAAAAGAAAAATAGTCTGCATCATTTGTATTTAAATAAAGCCTCAGGGAACTCAAAGATTGTTGAATTTCAGCTTGTAAGATCTGATATTAAAAACCAAACCAAATATGAACATAATTTATACAAAGGTTCACTTGAAAACCATCTACTTGCTGACCCAAACAAATTCTGGACTTTCTTAAGTCAAAATATAAGAACAGTGGAGTTCCCATAGAAATGACATTAAATAACTCTAAGTTTAATACACCTTTTGATATTGCAAGTGTCTTTGCTAAAGATTTGGCATCAGTGTATGATACATCTGACTGCACACATTGTCATTCTCAAAGTTCTGAGTGGGGTTCTTTTACCTTTAAATATATTACAGAATTAGATGTTGTAAATAGTAAAAAATCCAAAAAATCTACAGGGCCTGATGAAATACCACCCTATATCTATAAGGGAATGGCCGAACCCTTGGCTAAACCTCTGGCATTTTTGTTTAATATGTTGCTTGAACAAGAATATTTTCCAGATATTTTAAAAGTGGCAACAATTTCTCCAATACGTAAAAAAAGATAAAAAAAAGAGATTCAAAACTACAGGCCTATCAGCCTGTTCGTGAATTCTAAACACAGCCTGTTAAATAGTATTGCTAAGATTTTTGAAATTATTCTTTATGATGATATATATGAGCATAAAAAAATTATTAAAATCCTTTGTAAAAGGTATATATTTAAAAACCCAAATGGACTATGTTGAACAAATTATTTATTTTAACATTAATAATTAAATTATTATTAAATAATTTTTAACGGGTTTTTATAGTCTGTTTGGGTTTTTAAATATATACCTTTTACAAAGGATTTTAATAATTTTTTTAATATATGGTATACAGCCAACTACAGGAACGTAGATTCCTTGTGGATATATGAGCATGTTAAGAGTAAAATCAGAAAATTCCAGCCTAGTTTTGTAAGAGACAAATCAACAGTAACTAATCTCTGTGTTCTCTCTGAACATATTTCTAACGCTATTGAGGCAGTTCTGTATACTTATTGAGAAAAAGCATTTTATTAGGTAAATCACTGTATTATTTTAAATAAACTGGTACAGTTTGGTCTCTCAAGAAAAGCTTTTAATTTATTAAAATCTTATTTGTCAGATAGAAAGAATACAGTAAAAGTAGGTAATTGCTTTTCTCACCAATATGTGTCATCCTCAGGATTCTCACAGTGGAGCAAACTAGGGCTATTGATCTTTATTTTATTTATTAACGACTTGCCAGACTGTATTAAATCTTGTAACAACTTAATATATGCCGATGATTTTAAACTTTTTAAAAGAATCTCTAATAAGAAAGATGCAGTCAAATTGTAAGATGATCTAAAGATCAGTTATTCAATGGTTTAATGATTCAAAAATGACTCTTAATGTTAAAAAGTGTGCAGTAGTTTCATATACAGGAAAACTCAATAGTGTTATTGAAGATTATTATATTAATGATGATCGAGTTGAGAGAGTGAGTGTTATGAAGGATCTTTGAGTTAAATTCCAAATCAACATGGAGTTCAATATACACTTTTATGAAATAACTAACAGAGCTTATCATGCTTTGGGTTTTATCATTAGAGATAGCAAAAATTTCAGAATAAGCACAATTATAAAACTCTATAATGCCCTGGTGAGACTACATATGGAATATGTTTCATTCATCTAGTCTCTTACTGCATTTTCAAACTCAGAAATGATTGAAAAAGTGCAAAAACGATTTTTAAGATTTTTATATGTAAGGAAAAATAAGAAATATCCATATGTGGTCTCATACAGGATAATGTTAAGCCTCATTTCACTTGCTGTCACTTGCCACTAGAAGAAACAGTCAGGCCATTATGTTCATATACTTGATTGTTAACAGTATTAAGTACACAAACTGTGGTTTAATTGAGTTTGTTTACTTTAGAGTAGGTTAAGGATCACTAACCTAGATCTATTCTTTACAAATTACTATAGAAACATATCACCAATAAACTGACTGATGTGGATCATGTGGAAATAGACTGACTTATATGGATATATTTAATGAAAATAGCTGTGAACTTAAGACATTGCTTGCTCATCAGCACTGGGTTTAAGGGGTTTATTGTATTTTTTCTTATTGTATTATTAATGTCTGTTTCTTTCATTTATTGTATTTTTT